TTTGATTAGTTTTTATTTGTATTTATTGCTTTGGCAACTAGCTTAGCTGAATAAGTTTTAGTTATTTACATTTTATTTTATATTATTTCAGTTAATGCTTATTTTATTTCAAGTAACAAAAATGTTTTTCATGGTTTCAGTTATAGTTAACTAAAATAACCTTGCATAATATACGTGAAGAAAAATTAAATAAGTAGAAATAAGATAGAAAAATAAAAGTAATATACATCTAAATGGAGTAAGGAGAAGGCTTAATGAATAGATGTTCACATTAAGCATTACATAATATACTGTATAAATAATTTACATGATAAATATTATATGAAGAATATCCAAATTCTATTCAATAGGAGAATGTTAATGAAAATAGACAAGCTCCAAAAAGCCCCACCCTAAAACTATTCGATATGACACACTAGGTTTGCTTATGTTCAAGCATGAATGATGAGATTTGAGAACTGCACCAATTTTATTCGCCATACTCCAACTCCAAAGCACCTAATAAAACAACTAAGTTGGCCAAAGTGCTGTACTGTAAGTTCAATTAAGAGAATATAATAGGAAATAATAAATAACCATAAAAAAAACACAACATACAAGACAGACCCAAAAGGGTCACTACAGCGACAATACCTCAGCACTCATCCCTGATCAAAGGCTAATGAAAAATAATATGTTCTTAACTGCTTCTGAACTGCTTCATACTGAATGGAAGTCATACAAGTTGGGACAAAAATCTGTTTCACTATATATCTTTTTTTTTCTAAGGTGGCGGGTGGACGGATCCGGAGCTGGCTGACTTTGAGCTGCTTGTGATCATGAGCGCTACCGTGGAGCCGACCTCGGCCACCTGCCAAGTCCGCACCTCCTACCTGCCCGACGAGATCCTGTGGGGCTACGAGTTTCCTCCCGTCGTCTCCCTCTCCCCCTCCGGAAAGTATGTAGCTGATTTTGCCTTCTTTGACAAGGTTGCCAAGACCAAGACCCCACCCCTTTTTAAACAAGCCCCGCCTCCAAACACCCAGTCGCCCCAACAACAAGGCAATGGCAGTGGAGGCCAAGGGGCGGATGTGGAGAAGATGCGATTGGAGGAGAGCTACCGGGAGGAAAGGGGGCGGGGCAGTGGGCGTGTCCGAGACCAGCTCAGCGTCCGCATTAGTAACGTCTAGAGAGCGGAAAACACAGATGAATGAGTGAACGGGGGATCAGATGAAGATAAATTGCTTGAGTGCTTGTTTGATTCAGTGTTAGCCAACTTTTTTTTTTTGATGCCACTAGGCTTACCTGTTTTACAAGGTAGGGTGCCAGTAGAGTTGGCTAGCGCTGAAATGCACTGGCATACAAGCATGAAATAGAGAAGATAAAGACAGACTATGTTCGGAAAAGCACACTAGCATACTACATTTCCTGTTTCTGCAGTATATACTATGTATACTGTGTGTAGCATTCAAGTTTTCTGAATGAACAAAACACACAGATGATCTACTAGGGCTGCCACTAACGACTATTTTTATTTCGATTAATCTATCGACTAATTTATCGATTAATCAATTAATCTAAACGATTAATTTCCCACAAAAAATCAACAATTTTACTTAAGAATATTTTATTAAACTATATTTTATTAAACCAAATGAAAATCCAAATTTCTATGAAATCCTTTTTTTTAAAGCAAAAGTAAAGTGCATCCATTTCATAGTCCAAATCACTGAAATCAAAGTTCAGTATTATAGTGTAAGAATGACAACATATCCACGTGTTCTAGTCTACTACTAATAAAATTATAATCAAAAAACACTTTTTAAAGGAGTATTTACCAGAAATGTTATTTACCAGAATTAATTTAGGAGAAAAATTAAAGTGCAAGAAGCAAGTGTCCATCTCATAGTCCAAATCACTGAAATCAAAGTTCAGTATTATAGTGTAAGAATGACAACATATCCACGTGTTCTAGTCTTACTAATAATACAATTATAATCAAAAAACACTTTTTAAAGGAGTATTTACCAGAAATGTTATTTACCAGAATTAATTTAGGAGAAAAATGTGCAGTATTTCTGAAAAAAAAGAAAAAAAAACTTTTTTTTCTACTTTTTAAAAAATAAAATCAATTAATTGGAGATGCTTTTGATTCTTAAAATTGAATGGAATCATTAAAATGTAATCCAGAAAATAATGGAAAACAGAATTTGGTAAAGATAAAACTGTAAAACTCAATTAATTAGACAGGCTTTTTGATTAATAAAATTTAATTTAACCATTAAAACAGAGTATAGATAGATTTATAAATGATTTACCTTACAAATCTGATGAAATGCGCACGTTGCGTTCCCAGATGAACGTTATAATAAACCCAAACTCACAACAACATGCAGAGATGGCGTTTGAGACGCTCCACACATGTAAATGATAACAGTTCCTGTGGAACTACTGTGAACGGAGCCGCTGTGTGACGCATGTACTTAACCTACACGCATGTAAATAATTAAAGCACATATTCTGTATTAGAACGGCATTGCATATAATTAATTAAATCGTAGCGTTTGTGAATTCACAGTTATGCTTAATTATGATTTTTAAATGGGTTTAATATATCATGCAGCCTTGGGAAGCAGTCTAATAATGTGTTTTATGGATTCTCGTCCGTGAAATGCGCCACTTCCGGTATTTTGCCGGTTAGTCGATGCGAGAAAAATGAAGTCGAGGATTTTTAAAAATCGAATAGTCGGATAAAATCTACGAATCGCGACAGCCCTATGATCTACTATGGCAAAATTATTGGAAAAACATGCCTTGACCTATATTTTTGGAAAACTCCAAAAACATACAACTCACTGCAGTTTATAGTTGCAATGAGCACTGTGGCGGTAAAGCACTAACAACTTTTATTCCTATTCACACAGATTATGATAACAAGTAATACATTTTGACATTCGCACATAATAATCACATAATCAGCTCTATATGTATGACTTTTCTGACATAGTAAACGTGCTCGATAGCTCACTCGGTACAGCATTGCACTTAATGCCATGCGAAGCAAAGAGTCTTCTGAAATATGACTAATGATAAAAGAGCTCAAATGGCATGGTTGCTTCAGCAAATGTGTTATTATCTCACAGTTGCTTTTGTTAACACTATCGGTTACATTTAAAGTTGAATTTAATGTAGATGGTACATAATTTTCATACAAGATACAAACAATAACCTTTTAGTGCCAGTCACCGGACATTCATTTCCGAACTATACATCGCTATTTGTACAGCAACCAACATTGCCAGATTCATGTTCAGCCGTTTCAAATAAACTGTACACTGTATTAGCGCCACTTAGTGGTCATTTCACGTATTCCACAATGCAATGCACTCAAAATGATGATTATCAAGTGCTGCTTATAGTGCATTAAAATGATATGTTTCTAGAGCAGGGGTGTCCGATTCTGCTTCTGGAGGGCTGGTGTCCTGCAAAGTTCAGCTCCAACCCATTTAAACACACCTGAACCAGCTTACTAGGCACACTAGAAACTTCCAGGCAGGTGTGCTGAGGCACGTTTGAGCTAAACTCGTTTTAAACTCCGTCACAGTTCCCTATATTTCTTTATTGGGCTGCCAAAAGTTGTATTAAAATGCGATTACAACTGCAAAATAATGCACATTAATTTTTTAGCTAATAATTTGTTCAGTTAACAAATGACAACAATGTCGCATGCGACTATTTGAAACTCTTCTCACTGCATAATGCACATTGTTTCACATGATACTTTAAAAAATAGTATGCTACATATGTTAGTATGCTAGTGTTCCATTCCGGATGTAGTTGGAGTCTGTAAATGAGAAATACTGTAAACTACTAAACTATTAGACCATGTGGAATCAAATGATGATTCAACATAGATCTGCTGCTTTATTCATGACCTAGGAAGGACTACTTCACCACCTTGTGGCCAAGAAAAGCAGTGCCACAGATTTGAGACACTTTGAGAAGAACAACTATTCTGTAAACTCTGATGGACAATACCTGATTTTATAAACACATGGAAGATCTATTTTTGCAGAAGGATTATGGATTACAGTGGACTGGAGGGTTGCTTGTCACTGACTGGAAGAAATCATAATATTTAAACCACTGTACTGTAGTTAATGATAGAGCAAAGGTACAAAATCTAGAGTGAGTAACTTGTGCGTGTCTCATTGCGAGACTGCGTTGGATGTGATTTGTCTAACAGTGCCAGTATAGAGCTATTTTGGGTAAAGATCTAGTTTTTTTTCTCCATAGTTGATCTTTTGTCACTGGAATAAACATAATGTTGGTTAACAATACTAAAAGCACTTTAACTTGAGGAGGAGGCTTTATTTTTGAGATTTTGTTTGGGTCCAACTTAACTGTACATGGCCTTTTATATGTGAAGATAATGACAAAGAGTGAAAGAATGTATTTTGGATTATAGAAATTGTAAAGTCAACGTGCCTATGAATCATCATCAACAACAACAACAACAACAATAATAATTAAGAGCTGTTTATTAAGTCAAGTACCACTGTTACTGTTGTAAATTACTATTGTTCATGCATTGTGTTATTGTTAGTCAACAAACTCCCCATTATACAAATGATCGAGGTGAAATGTAATTAGTTTTATAAAATTAATTTAATGAGAGATCAGATGTCAGCTTTTCAGCTTGCAAGTGATAAACCACCTATGACACATTATTATTAGTATTATTCAGATGGTTTATGTTGTTGAAAAAGAATGAATTTGGTTTTATCGTTAGCACATTTTGCCTGTCTTCAACTGTGGCTGTAAGGAAACATCTGTTTCATGAATTTACTTTTGTGTTTAGTCACTTTCATAACTGGACTTTCACCACTTTAACTGCTAATGATCTCAAATGACTGTTTTTAATAAATGAGAAGGTTTGAAACAGTTGCACAGTGATTTTATCAATGTGTTTTCAATGAACAGTGTGTTAAATCACAGTTTCGTAACACCTGGTGTGATTCTGAGGTGAGTGTTAAAAACTCCCGGCGTTTATTCCCTAGAATTCCCAGCATCACGAAAATGAAAGATGAAATTCATCTGAATTCATCAGGCTTCATCTGAAGTCACTCTAAAGCATGGCTTTTTTGTGTGTCACTGTATACAGTCACAAATACACACAAGGAATCAAAACACCCAAGATTGTTATACGTCACTCAGTATTTATTTATCTATTTATTACTGTCCTGGCAGCATTTATGCAATTATGTTATTGATGGGATAGAAGCCAGTTTTAAGGCTTATTGTCACTGAACAGTTACACTGCTGAATGATTTTATATTTTTACTCTTTTAGAAAAAAGTTACAAAACTGTCACTGGGATTTATACACTGTCAAAAGGTACACTTTAGGGTCCTAATATGTCCTTTAAGGTAATATGCACTTTTAAAGTACTAATATGTACGTTTTAGCTTTTGTACTTTAGGGTACTGCCCCAATGATGGCTTGATAGATATAGATGGATAGATAGATACACTGTAAAAAACATTCTGTAAAATGTACGGTAAAAAACCGGCAGCTGTGGTTGCCGGAATTTTACAGTAAAAGATACGGTAGCAACATTTTAGGTTTTACGGTTTTAACTTAAATTTACAGTTAAATACCGTAACCAATATAATGTTAATATACCAACCTATTGAAGTACTGAAATCTGTTTTGTACCTTTGTAATACACTGATAACCACCCAATGCAGGTGGTGATGAGAAAGTCACATGATGAAGCAAAGCCCATCACAAGCAGCTTTTAAATAATAACATATATAGAAGGTGCACAGTGTCATTCACACAAACACTAAACACCATCATAGTAACACACATGAAACTGAAATAATGCAATAAACATTCATTTAACAACAACCCTAATATACAAAACTGATAAGAAAAAACTAAGAAGAAACATAGTTATAAAAAAAAAAAACATCAAATTTGAAATGTAACGCAGGGAATTCTGGGAATGTCAATTTACAGTTATTCACTGTAAATTATATGAAAAATAATTATATTTTTCACTTCCAAAAACGGTATACTACCGTAAAATTACATGTAATGTCCAATACAGTTTTTCACCGTATATAGTAGGGGAATTTACCGTTAACCATTTAAGAGGTTTTTACTGTGGCATTTTTACAGTCTTTTACCGTTAAATTCACGGTCATTTTTTACAGTGTAGATGTGATATTACATTGTGATGCATTAATTGTACAGTAAGAGTCGCATGTTCGAAGCATGTAAATGAACAGGAAGACTTCATTTTTGAGAGTGGAAGCTATGTCTCCTGCTTAAGACATTTACTACAACAGATCTTGCAGGTAAGAATTTATGCTCTCGTCATGTGATCGATTTCATGTAATGAGTGATATGTGAATGCATGCATATTCGGTTTCATTTGAATTCATAGTGAAATAGATCGAGTCATTTCATAACTGCAGCGTGTGCACAACTGTCTGAATATGTGTCTGCAGTAAAGTCTGACAAGTAATATGCACTTTTGACAACATGCTGGTTGTTGTTTTGT